GGGGGACTTACATCATAAATGTAAAAATAAGAAAATGCCTAATCTTATTTACACACTTCTTACAAGGGGGGAAGTTTTCATGAAACCACCTGAGCTGTCCTGGGAGGAAAGGGTCGTGTAAAAACTGCAATCGCTAACTACTCACAGCCACTGCCTACAATCCCACAGTCATCCACTGAGGGCTTCAGAGGTTAAACCTGATGAAAACAACAGGCGGCCCAGCGAGGACACATGACAACGCAGGTCCCTCATCAGGAGAGGCATCAAGAACCAGATTATTTGACGGCTTTGTCTTCCTCTTGGCATCTCATTTAGCATCTTGAACGGCTGCTGCGGGGGGAAAACAGCCACTAGCAACAGGGTAAGTGGGACACAGAACTGACAGCCTCACCTGNGTTTAGCATCTTGAATGGCTGCTGCGGGGGGGAAAACAGCCACTAGCAACAGGGTAAGTGGGACACAGAACTGACAGCCTCACCTGGGCTGGCTCAAGGACCGCTCTGAGATGCAAATAAAGTAAATCTGCAAGGAAACGCTAATTGCCAAGAACGCCTTGCTTTTGCTAACGTAACAGTTCGCAGCAATGTTAGAAAAAGCGGAAAGTCAAGATGCACTAAAAAAGATAACGAAAACAAAAGGAAGAAATTACCACCATCTACAAATTTAATATATTGATATGGACTTACACTCTAGGCACACACACACACCACAAAGAGAAATCAGCCCATCATATTGTATTTTTACCTGCTTTCTTCCTTTAATAACACTGACCTATTACATGCCCATAAATATATTTCTACATATCAGTTTAACGGTCATTTATGTGTATATTTATCCATATATGAAAACTTACTGCATAATATAGTTTTTTTTAAAAAAAAAAAAATAGCATTCCTAACTTGAACTAAAAATCCACCACACTGAATGCGAAAGCAGTATTTATAGGCAAAACTACTTTGCAATCAGCAGAGCTCTTTTGCCAAATTCGCAACCTGAACCATACAGCCTCTCCCAAGGAAAGGTCGTCTCAGGCTAGAAAAGTTTTCTAATTAAACGCATTTCTCAGAGTAGCTGTTTGCTCATGAAAGGAAATTGTCTCCATATTTTTACACTAAGTTCGCGCTTTGGAGCATCTGATAACTCCTGTCGGGAGAGCTTGAGGGTTCAGATTCCAGTCAACAGTTATTTACCAAATCTTTAGGGAAACGGACCTGCCTAGAGAGGGGCCCGTCCTGCACAAACAGCGCTGGGAAACAGATGAAAGGCACACATCTGGCTTCTTTTCTTCTGTCTTATACATTTAGAATGTTCTCAATATATACACACCTATTTTGAATTGTTTCTTTCTGCCAGAAAACGAACGAAACCCGAGCTGTTTTAATCTGGGACCCACCAGTTCAGACTTGCTCTGAGGCTAAAATCAGGGACCAGGCCTGATTCCCAGAAAAAGAGCTGGGGGAGGCTCTGCAACGGCTGCTGCTGCCCCCTGGCGGCCAAAGCGGCGAGTTCCAGGCCCCAGCGGCCGGGCGCTGCCTTCGTCAGTGACCCCTTCAGACCCCACAGTGGGCACTCTGGGGACCCAGAGGAAATTTTTCCTCTGTCACATGGGAGAGAAGAAGCTATGGTTTCTTTTTACTTTTTCTAACATTGCTGAGTTGTTATATTAGAAAATATATATATTTTTTAAATTGATTTTAGAGAGAGGACAGGAGAGGGAGAGAGAGAGAGAAACATCAATGACGAGAGTCATTGATCAGCCACCTCCTGCACGCCCCCTGCTGGAGATCGAGCCACCAACCTGGGCACCTGCCCTGACCAGGAATCAAACCGTGACCTTCAGGTTCTTAGGTCAACCACTGAGCCACACTGGCCAGGAGAAACTACGGTTTTCTTTGTAGAGAAAAATGCATTTCACTGAAGAAAACAACAGGTTCAAGTCTAGCAGAATTCCGAGCCACATGAAATGAAGGGGTTGTGCCCACCCCGGCTCTCCCCGGCCCCGTGTTCTGCAGATGGTGGCTGCTGCTTCTAGGAGCTCATTTTCACCCCCAACTTCAGAAAAGGATTTCTCCATAGCCTGGGAAGGGAATAAAGAGGCAGGTTTCAAACTGCAGCTCCCCTGCCTGCCGTGGGGCCTGCGCAGGCCACCAGAACAGCGCAGGAAACCGCCCACGGCCTGCGTTTCAGGAGGCGCGTGTGCATCTTGGAAAGCTCTGAGTCTGCCCTTGAATGACAGTCTTTCTGATGCGCGGGCCAGAGGCGTTTCTGTCGCTCCCTCGCAGCATCCGATGGTCTCACGCCACCTGGCGTTCGGAGCAGACACTCCAAAGCGAAGCCAAGGCCAGGTCTTTGCAAAATAAAAAGTGCTAATGGTGACCTTTTGGGACAATAAAACTTCTGTGCGCTGCTGGCACCTGACCAGAACAACACATCTGTGGGAATCAGAGAGAAATCCAAGCAGACCCTGATATGCATCATTTTCATACGCAATTAAAAAGCGGCAATCAAATCATGAGGGAAAGGAAAGTTCAGTGCTAGTTAATTAAATAGCCATTTGGCAAAAAGTAAAACTAAGTTCCTACTCTCGGCCAGAAATCAAAATAAACTTGAGCAGATCAAGGAGATAAAAGAAAAATGTCAAACCAGACAAAAAAGAGAATAAATATAAGTTAATGTGCATCGCTCTCAAGACACAAAAGGCCTTTCTAGGTACAAAAACAAAGGAAGACTCTAGAATAGGATCATAAGACTTAAAAAGGTCTTTGCAATGAAAAATGCATAAACAAAACTATTGTCTATTCCTATGTTACCCCCCAGTGCATTTTGTGCACATTCCTTAGGTCTCCTTCGATTCTACATAGGTAAGAGAAACTGCAAAACTGCCACTCCCCAGAGCATTTTTTCAATCCACTGAGATTTTGCTTCCTGACATGTCCTCAAAATTTCGGCTCAAATAAATTCTTATAAAACATTTCTATAGATTTAGAAATTCTTTCATCAACAGCTGCCAGGAAGAAACTATGTTTCTCTCTAGATCTAATATAAGAATATCTTTTTGCCTGGCAGGCATAGCTCAGTGGTTGAGCGTCGGCCTAGGATCCAGGAGGTCACTGGTTCGATTCCCGGTCAGGGCACATGCCTGGGTTGTGGGCTTGATCCCAAGCAGAGGGGGTGCAGGAGGCAGCCGATCAATGACTCTCTCATCATTGATGTCTCTCTCCCTCTCTGCCTCTCTCTGAAATCAATAAAACATATTCAAAAACAAAAAGAATATCTTTTCTTTCTAAAGAAGAAATGCATAATCATAAAAAAAGTTTACAATCATAAAAATCAATCTATTAAATAGCAAAAGGAAGGGGTCTGAAATCAGAGGTAGCTGACATTTCAGCATTCCTTTAGCCGTTCGGTAATTTACTAAACACCTATTCGATGGCAGATGTTTTCCCCTAGCAGGAGGTCTTTAAATCTTTTGTCTAAACCATTCTTTCCAAATAGGAAAATGACTTTTTCCAGGAAATGTATTCTTCCTGCAATGTGTTCCAAAACCAAGGCCCACCATCTACCTGTGCTGGGAATGGAGAGGGAGAAGAGCTTGCTAGAAGAACGGGCCCCGAAATGTCATCGCCTACGACTCCCATCAACCACCAACCTTCCCGCCTGCAGCCAGGGCATGTTTCTGGCCCCAGGGACCTCACACCAACGCCTTCCAAGAGCTTTTCTGTCCTTTTTGCAGTAGCGCAACATGGCCACCAGAGGGCACAAGCAGCACAGTCTTCACGGGTCCACAGCGGCCGCTGCTAACTGCCTTATAATAGCAGAAAACATGGGGTTCCAATGCCAGGGCTCCTGTTTTCCAGGAATTAATGCCCTAGGATTTTTCCCATATCACAAAGTGGAAAACAGGGCTGCTGGCACGAGCACTCCCAGCTCTAAGGCACAGTCCCTTCTGTTTTTGTTTTTTTTTCAAAAAAGTGGGCATATTTCACACAGCCCTAANTTTTTTGTTTTTTTTTTCAAAAAAGTGGGCATATTTCACACAGCCCTAAACAATGCAAGTCAGTGAGATCAGAGGGATGGAAGAATCTATAGCCCAAACCAGGAGCAGCAGAGATCAGCAGAAACGTTCTCAGGGGCAGGGGTGGGGCGGGACGGAGGAAGGGTGTTTGGCAGGTGAGCCAGGGCTGCTCCGAGCTTGGAGGCAGCAGACGTGGGGAGCAGAAGGGGGCCGCAGAGCAGATGGATGGGCTAGCGCTGGCCTCTCCCCTTGGTGCCAAGCGATGGCCAGAGTGGCATTTATCCTGCTGAGAAAGTAGGAACCCAGCAGCTGAAGGCGATAGGGGAGCAGCTGAAGGACGCATCACGCTGTGGACTATGGTCAGTGTGTAGGAGAAAAGACGTATGTACACAGTAAAGCACCCTCGATCCCGAATTCATATTAGGGAGTGAAAACAAAACCACTGCAGAATATGGACATCGGAGGATGGTTTTCGATTAAAAAGCATGGGTGTGAACTCACAGAATCACGTGGGAAAGGGGAACAAATCACTCACATACAGGTAACAGATGCTCTCCTGGGGGAGGGAGTCCAGTGGGATTTCGGGGCAGGAAGGGGGGGGCATTCGGGGACTTTTCCGTCTCTGTGTATGTTGGGTGAGTTCACAATAACAATTGTTCACATCTTTCTCGTGGATAATTAAAGTCAGATCAAGGGGACACTTTCTTGAGCAGCTGCTGTAGATGCTGGTAATGAAGTTATTACAGGGGTCTTAGTTCATTTAAAACAACTTTATGTGGTGGTGACTATCATTATTATTATTAATTTACTAACTGTAAAGGGTAATAAGGTTCCATACGTTTAACTAATTTTCTGCAAATGCCTTGATCCCTGGAGAGACTCAGATGTGAGGTCCCGTCTGCTGCAAAGCACGCTGAGATGGGCAAGGTTGGTAACCACTTTGCTACAAAGGTAGAGAGCAAAAGGGGGCAGAGCCAGGCCTTACCGCAGCGGTCCCGGATGACCAGGTTCCGGCCCTCCTTCAGGTGGATGGTCAGGAGGTAGGCGAAGGGGCTGGGCAGGTTGCTCAGGCCATCGCTGGCCTCCCCGAGGGTCTGCACAGACAGAGAAGTCAAGTCAGTTGTCTTGGGCCCCCACGGGAGAGAATTTCAGAAACACATCTAAATTTAAGGAGGAGCCCGGCTGGCGTGGCTCAGTGGTAGGGCATCGACCTGGGATCCAGGAGATCGCAGTTCGATTCCCGATCAGGGCACAGGCCCAGGGTGCAGGCTCCTCGATCCCCAGCAGGGGGCGTGCAGGAGGCAGCCGATCAATGACTCATCACTGATGTTTCTCTCTCTCTCCCTCTCTCTAAAATCAATAAAAATATATTTACAAATATATAATAATTTTAAGGGGAGGAAGATGGTCACTCCAACGGCCAATCCGCAAGCATGAACCCCCCCCCACTCACTTTGATGACTTGGTTACACTGCCCGGGTGCCAGGCTCTCTATTTCTGGATGGCCCTCGGGTCATTCACTGAGGGCAGCATTCTCGACTCGGTCACTCCCGGTGGAGCCCGAGAGAGGAAAGGACACACAGCAGCGCAGCTGGGGAGCCAGCTTCCTAACTCACATGCAAAATGTCTCCCTCTTCTCCCTGCTTCCCACCCACCCCCAATGACCCTAGTCCGCCTCCTCCAAGTGCATAAAAAACCTTTCAGCAGGTAACCCCTCAGCTGACAGCCTGCTGAGCCGCATGGCCATCCGGCACACGGCCCTCCCTCGTCTGCGCCCACGTGGGACACACTCTGTCCAGCACCCGGCCCCAATGCGTGTCCCTTACACTTACCCTCACCGTCCCCCCCCAACACCCTCAGGCCCCCCTCTGGGAATGCATCCACTCCCACAGGCCATAAGGTCCAATTCAAGCCTGGTTTTGAGTAATTTATTCAATGAATCCCACTAAAGCCTTGCACTTGAGGTTTGCACTAGTTCAGATGTTTGTCGTTCCGAAGAGAAAGGCCGGATGAAATAATTTACTGTTCACCTATCTGACATTCACGTTTATCGATCCCAGGGCTGGGTGAACCCCTGACATTCTCTGTTTCAAAGCACTTCAGAACGGCTTTATCTCCTGCTCTATGTCACTCGATCTCATAGCGTCTGTATTTTTAGAAGAATCTATCCCAGGCTCACAAATCAATAGGCACCGAATTAATCCCTTCCAGCTATAATTTGCAGGGCCCGTCTTCGGAAGTGAATCCGGTCGAGCCTTCTTTGGAGAGAAATGAGGCAGAGAAATACAGACGGGGGCGCATGCAACAGGAACTACTGACACTGTTGACTTTTCGTGTGTGTGTTTGTTTTAAAGGAACGTCACTCACAGATTGCTCTTCAAAATGCTGGGATGTCATGGAAGCGCTGAGATCGCCACCTCCACAGAGCTTCTGTAAATACAAAGAAAAAATTACCCTGCTTTAAGAAATAGAAAAAGAAAGCAAAAGCGGCAAGGAAATCCTGTGCTGGGGCTTTCCCCAGGGGAATCTGTCCTTTGTGAGCTGTTTCAGTGTGTGGGCGCCTCCCGGCCTGTGTGGCAAGTCCGGGCAATTCGAGGCTGAGTCACAGGGCCCATCTGGCTGTGGCCCCTGCCGTCCCAGTCACCGATCAGAGCCCTGATAAGGCCCGTTCGGCGTTCTTGGTGGGCCGATGGCTCACACTGAGCTCATCAAATGCGTAGCAGGAGCAGCAGCCCAGGGTGGGCCTGCCTGGCCCCCAGCCATCGGCGGGAGGTGACAGCTCGGGAACCGGGGAACCAAGCTCGTCAGGTGGGCCGAAAACATGTCAAGATGGGATCGGAAAGACCCTCCTCAAACCAGACCCTCAGGGGTCTGCCAGCATCAGTACGGTCACCACCCAAAAAGCAGGCGGCACATATTCTGAACAAAGGAGCCCAGAAGGCGAGGTGTCTGTTTCCCAAGTAAAATATTCCTCAGGTGCTCGGGGAGCGATCCCACAGGCCCTAAAACGCGCAGGATCCAGCGGTTAGCAAGGGATCCAGCGGACGGCTTCACTGTTCCAGGTTTACCTGCAGAGGCGCAGGGCCCAGAGGCGCTCTGGGGGTTTGGGGGGCTCCCTGGGCTCCCCGCACAGGGGAAATGAGCAGGTGGTCTGTCTCCCCGCATTCCGGTTATGTCCCAGTTTGTGTCTCTCATTAGCCAGGGCTGATTCCTTGCATGGCTATTAGGGTGGTGGCTGGGGGTCTTCTCCTGCCAAGGAGCGTCACCCCTCAGGCTGGCCCACCACCTGCACCCCCCACTGTGCTCGACGACAACGTTCATTAAGCGGCCAAATTAGTCCAACAAGCGCCATCGCTTCTCTGCCATCAGAAACGAACGCAGAGCTTTTGCTCGCATGGGCAGTAAGTCTTCCACTTACAACAACAGGGAAATTAAACGTGAGGAAGGACATTAATTCAACGCGATGGCTGCTTTTACTCCCAGGAAAGTCGCAGGACTTAAAGGTATGGTTCCCACAGCCGCCGTAACTGTCACACGCCACACACACACCGAGGAAGGGAAGCGGTCACCGTACGGAACAAAAATGCCACACAGGCCCGTGAGGACCGGGTCACAGCTGCCGGGGGACCCACAACGAGTGTCCCTTCCACTCTGCACAGAGCCTCAGGGGCCATCCACCGAGCAAAAGTTGCATTATTTCCATCTGCCCTGTAAACCTAGTAATCAATGAGTTTTCGTTAAAAAAAGGGAAGGGGGGGGCAATTAATATTTTTCTCATCAGGAGTCCCTGGTATCCCACTATCATTAGAATGTGGGGGGTTTTTTTTATGTTCTCAACAACCATAATCAAGCAGTCCGGGTTTTTTAAATTTTTACTTAAAAAGCAACACACACAGCAAAACTGGCCTTTTTTTTCACATGTGCATAGTGATGTGACTTTTAACACATGTATTTATTTGTGTAGCCACCACCACCATCGTGACACAGAACAGTTCTGTCAATCCCCCCCCCAAAAAAAAACATTTTTATGCTATCCTATCCCACTGTGGTCAGCCCTCTACCCCACCCATGGCGACCGGTGATCTGTTATCAGCAGAACAGTTTCATTTTGTCCAGAATATCATACAAATAGATTCAGACCCTGGAAACTTTCACTCAGCACACCGCTGAAGTCCATCCAAGGCGTCTTCTGTATAAGCGCCCTCTCCTTTTCCTTACCGAGTAGTATTCCAGCATATGGGTGCCCCATGGCTTATTGATCCACGGGGCATTAGTTTTAATAATTTCAAACAAATTGTTCCCAAGGACATACGCAGGCGAAGAGAGATAATATGGAAGATCAACAATGCCAAGGAGTTTTGCTACGGCAAGCTGTCTAATCGGATTCGGATACACAGCAGGAGCACCTTGGTCAGTCATCTCACACAACTCGTGCCACTCACTGCCTTTCAGGTCCGTGGGTTGTGCGTGTTTACCGACAGTGAGTGTGCACGGGCATTTCCGTTCTTCCTTGCTGAATGGACACTTAGGGGAGGGCAGAGCATGTCTGCCTTCTCTTTGGAGGGGCACACTGGCTGCGGGAGTGCAAATCTATGAAGATGCGGCAGGAAACGGAGAGATGTCAGGAGGGATGATGATTTAAGACAGAAATTCTCCTCCAGTCGCCAAGGACCTCAAGAGCGAGACACTGATGTGTATAAACGACGTCTTCCTTTCGTGTACACTGACTGCGATCTCCCACACACACCGCCACCCACGCGGCTGAAGGGTCTCAGGGCGAAGCACACGCGGGAAGTCAGAGGACACACACTCGAACCCATCGCTGGCCGTTTACACTTCGGTGGAAGGAAACATAAACCCACGGCCGGGAAAGCCGAGTGACAGTAAAAAGTTGGCTGAGAAGACCACTTACGTAGTCTTTGAAAGATACTCCATTGAAGTATAGCAGCTGACAGATATAATACGTATTTACTTAATTCCTTAACCCACATCTGGCTTGCTGAGACTATGAATACTTTGCGTCACAAACACAAATATCTCCAGGGCAAAGGAAATCACAGAATGAGCCAAGGGACTCAGCTGCCTGGACAGACCATCCCACAATGCCTGGGCTCGGGGGTCCGACCGAAACGACCCACGCAGCAATTAGAGTCAACACTGGAACGCGTGTCGGGAAAAATTCAGGTCTACCAGATGGCTCAGTCTGCTCATAGTTTTTATGCCACTTTTTGGGGGGTGACTGATCATACAATCAAGGTATATGTGTTTGATTTTCCCCTACCCCAAGACTGTTCTCTAAAAGTGATGCCCCGAGCCCGGCCGGGCGTGGCTCAGCGGCTGAGCGTCGACCTAGGATCCAGGCGATCGGGGTTCGATTCCCGGTCAGGGCACAGGCCCGGGTTGCGGGCTCGATCAATGACTCTCTCATCATTGATGTTTCTCTCTCTCTCTCCCTCTCCTTTCCTCTCTCTGAAATCAATAAAGATATATTTTTAAAAAAATAAAAAAATAATAAAAGGGATGCCCCTAGAATATTATCTAATATACAAAATCTAAGTCATGCGTGTGTAAATGCATGTGCGTGCGTGTGTGTGCACATACACCCTGCTCAATCACGTGATGCCATAAAACAGCGGTCAGCAAAGGACAGCCCAGCACTTGTTTTTGCAGGTAAAACACAGCCCCGCCTATCCGTTTATATATTGCCCATGACTCATTTCACACTACAACAGCAGGTTCAGTAGCTGTAACAGTTTTTATGGCCAAGAGAGCTGGGGATCATTGTTATCTGGCCCTGTAAGGAAAAGTTTGCCAACACCTGGTATAATAAACCTGTCCCAGCGTTTGGTAATATTTATCCACAAACGCTTTATACATTTTTTTCATGCTTGTTAGCAGGAGATGCTTTAAAAAAAATAATGACCCCCTTGACATTGGTTTATAACTTGATAATCTACAAATACAAGCTTCTATTAACTTCTTGTAAGGGGCCCATGGGCTGTCGTTAGTGTCATCCATTTACAAATAAAGAAGTCAGGGCTAAGAGGTTGGATGGCTGCCCAAGGAAAGCAAGAGTGAGCCCTCGCCTGAGTCCCTGAGCATCCACGCTTTCTCCTGGGCCCCAGTGTGCCCAGAATGAACACCTCGCCCGACATACTGACAGGCAGCTCTGCACAGGAGGAGACAAAGCCCTGGGGTCCGAAAGACCTGGATTCGAATCCCACTGCTTCCTAGCTTTGTGCCCTTGAAAAGTTTCCTTAAAGGTCACAACGTGGGAACATCTCTGAAAGGGGCAAAAGAGATACTTTCCTTGTAAGTTGTTAGGAGACAAATTCATTCATTCAGAGGATATCTACTGAGCACCTTCTCTGGGCCGGACACTGTATTACGCTCTTTGTATATATACAGAGAGTGAAGCAAATAGATGTCGTCAAAGGTGATAGTATTTACGTGGCACTTAGCAGAGTTCCTTACACATTAGCTCTCAGTAAGTGCGTTAGACTGGTGTAGCTATTCTATTATTATTAATATTATCACTGCTTTTATGATTAGGGCCTGTTTAGGAAGACAAGGGAAAAAGAAACTCATGACGGGGTGGGCAACCCAAGTCCCTCCCTTAATCCTGACCATCCGTCCTTTCCCATCAGCACTATTGTCATGACCGAGACAGAGAAGTGGCTGATGAAGGCCTGGCAGAGCCATCACCCTTCACACAGGTCATCAGCCTGAGCACACGGCCGCGTGTCCACAGCAGGGACAGCAAGCGCCCGGCTGTCCCCATCTCGCCTGCCCGTGAGCAACGCAGCACGGAGCCCACAGGCCGCCTCTGGACCCCACGCAGTCCCCAGCCAGGGGGTCGTTAGAGCCCAGCCGAGCGACAGGATGGGAAAGTCTCACCCTTCGTGCGACACCCAGGCACATCTGTAGCCGGCCGCTGCTCAAATCAGGGTCTTCACGAAGAAGGGGACTTTTGTCTTTCTCGGTGGCCGTGCTCCTGGTGCCTGGGACACGATCAGCACACAGTAGGTGCTCAACAGGCAGGAAAGGGGGAGGAGGGGGGGCAAGAGGCCAGGTCCTCTAACGCCAGGATGTTGAGTCAAGAGTTTTGAGATAAAACAAAAATAGTAAAAGACACATGATTGGCGCGGGGAGCAACGGATGGGCTTGTTTGGTTTCGCAAGGGGCAGGCCGCCCCTTCTCTGTGGTTTGTCGTTTCGCTTCTCTGTGGTCACTAAACTGAAGCTCTGTGGGCTTCTAGAAATAGCCCAACAGGGCTCTTTCCGAAGCCCCTCAACTCATCCTCGTAAGCGAGCACCAAAGCTACGTGTTTCAAACTCCAGCCGGCAAATGCGACATCAGGGACGGACAGGCCCCAAGGGAGACGACGCGGGTGACGGGAGGTGGCGATCTTCTCACTCGGGGTAACTAGTTACTGACCACGACAAGAAGCCCACCCAGCTGCTAAGTGGACACAGAAAAATAAACGTCTTCTTTGAGGATCAGCATGTTTCAGATCTCCAGCCCTGACTTCCATCTGAGATCCTTAGGATGCCCCAGCAAGAGGCCCGTCCACTTTTTCCCATCAGCTAATAAGCAGCAAGAAGTGAAGGTTACGTTTATATTTTCATGAGTGGAAACATGTATCTCAGACCTATAAATCCAGTAAAAACCATAAAATTGCTACAGAAAGGATTTTTCATAAATGAAAAAGACGGTGAAGGAAAGTCAGCTGAGGGGCAGTGACATTTCCCAAAGATTCGGACCCGGCATCCTCTGAGCAGCCGCGATGCCATTCCCCACCTAACGTGAAGCGTGTGACATAATTAACAGGCGTCGGTTCCAAAAGTGTGACCAAAAATCCCAGCAGAATAACCGCTTTTCTATGCAGTTCTCACGCTACCCTGGAATACAGATAAATGACCCGCTTTCCTCAACACTGCGGCCTCCTTCAGTGCCATTAACGGGGGGATGTTTAAAACTTTATCAATAGATCATCAAATCATGACTTAATAATCTGGCGATTAAATTTAAATTAGACTCTTCCGAGAAATACAAGGTTTGTCTCAGAGCTATATTTGGCTGCTTTACCTTCCTGGAATATTAAAGCTTTGTAAAATCACCGTGCTGGTAAGAATGCGTTTCCTTTAGTTTTTTTCTTTTAGAGAATGCGGGTGAAGCTGCCCTCGGGTAAGTGTTCTCACACACACACACACACNCTCACACACACGTACACACACACACACACACACACGTGTGTGAAACAGAAGAGAGTTCGGCCCGGCCGGTGTGGCNTTCTCACACACACACACACACACACACACACACGTGTGTGAAACAGAAGAGAGTTCGGCCCGGCCGGTGTGGCTCAGCGGTTGAGAGCTGACCTATGAACCAGGAGATCCGGGTTCGATTCCCGGCCAGGGCACCAGCCGAAGTTTCGTGCTCGATCCCCAGCAGGGGGCGAGCAGGAGGCAGCCGATCAATGACTCTCATCACTGATGTTTCTCTCTCTCTCCCTCTCCCTTTCTCTCTCTGAAATCAATAAAAACATATTAAAAAAAAAAAGAAATAGAAGAGAATTCACACTCTGTAAGTCAAAGGGAAACATACATTCATACATCTCTTTTTTTGGTTAACCCTCGTGTGAGGATATTTTTTCTACTGCTTTTTAGAAAGAGCAATAAGGAGAGAGGGAGAGAGGGAGAGAGAGAGAGAAGCACCGATGTGAGAGAGACACATCGATGGGTTGCCTCCCGCACACACCCCGACAGGGGACCAGGAACAAACCCGCAACTGAGGCACGTGCCCTTGACAGGGAATCGAACCCACGACCCTTCGGTGTGCAGGGCGATGCTCTAAGCACTGAGCCACACAGGCCAAGGCTCCTACATTTCTTAGGACCAGTGACATGCATGTTTTGTCTATGGTAGGGCTGGGCAATCTCATCAAGACGGGGGGGCGGAGGGGGGGGACAGAGAGACAGAAACGCACTTAAGCAAATTTAGAGGAAAAGTTCTGCTCCTACTTTCTTTGCCAGGAGACGGGAAAAGGGAAACTCATCCAATAGGGCTTTTAATGCCTTAAAGTGTCCGAGAAAGGGTTTCTGTAATAGTTTTAAAATACGCAGAGGTCAACCCTAGCACCGATGGGAACACTTGGTGCGATCAATACTCCCTTCCCTTCACTTCTTGTAAAGGACACTGCCCCCATCCAAGCTAACCACGAAAATAACCCCGAATCCAATTTTCCAAGGGCACTCGGTGCAATTCAAAGTAAGAGAAAAGCGAGGGGACGGCGCGGGCCCCGGCCTCACCTCTGGCTCGTCCAGGGCATCCTCTCCCAGGGGGGCCTTCTGCAGCAGATCACAGAGGCCGCCGCTGGAGGCCCTCCTGTCCTCGGCCGGGGAGGCGAAGGTCTCCTCGGAGTCTGTGTCCCCCCCATGGGGCTGGGCCGCCTCTTCCTGGCTCCAGTCCAGTTCTTCTTCAGGCTGCTTCAAGGAGCTACTGCAGCCCTTGGGGACGATCCCCGCCGTGGACAGGCTGCTGGGCACGGAGGTGTAGGAGGACTGGGCCCCGGAGTAAGGGCCATGCTCCGGGGCCAGGGCCTTGGCCTCCAGGAGGTCGGGGACAGAGAGGCTGAGGCGGCGATCCAGGTGGGGCCCCTCCCCTAAGTCCAGCGGTTTGTGGGGGCTCTTCTTAATTTTCCTCAGGTTGAGTAGCAGAGGCCTGGTCCGCTGTTTGAATGAGCCCCAGACAGACGGTTTATCCAGATCCATGGCTGCATGAAGACCCCAGGAGTCGCTCCGCAAAAGAAAACGCCTCCCCTGAAAACGTCAGAGGCTCCTAGAAGACAGAACATAAGGAGACAGAACGTGAAATTTCGCTGTGGTGCCAGGGCCCGTGAAAGTGGGAGCATGACTCGAAAACTGTGCTTTCCCCATAAGTGATCGAGATCAAAACATTTGATTGAGAACGTCTACAAATATCAGGAAAAGCTTAAAGAACTGAATTTTTTTAAGATTTTTTTTTCCTATTAAAGAAGTTATAGAAAAGCTAAAGCAATTAATGAAATTATTAGGTTGACACCCACACACAAAAAGTGGTTCATAGGAAGAGTGCTGTCTATTTCTGGCTTATTTCACTCAGCATAATGTCCTCCGGGCTCATCCATGCTGTTGCAAATGGATGCATTTCCTTTTTGATGGGTAAATAATATTCCATTGTATACACAGGGGTGGGCAAAAGTAGGTTTGCCATTGTGAGTAAGCAAAATGCAGAATTTATTCTTATATTACTGTTTATTAATTACTGTATTATTTTCCATACGAATAACTGTAAACCTACTTCCCCACCCCGTATATGTACCGAATTTTTCTTTATTCATTCATCCCTCAGTGGGCACTTAGGTTGTTTCTGGATCCTGGCTGCTATAAAGAATGCTGCAACGGACAAGGGAGTTCAGGAATCATTTTGAGATACAGACCCAGGAAAGGGATAGCTGGGTTCTGGGGTACATCTACTTGTTAATGTTTTCAGGAAGCTCCCTACTGTTTTCCATAATAACTATACCAATTTATATCCCCACCAACAGTGTACGAGGGTCCTCTAATCTGCACCCCTCAGCACTGCAAGCATACTCTCTCTTTAAAACAAGGAGCCTATGCCTCCGGGCTTTCACTTATTGAAGAAAACAAGCATTGAGCGTCTTCAAACCACTAAGGGCAGAACAAGGTCTTTACAGGAAACGGCCCCAAGCCAAGGAGCCTAATGGAAGTTTCAATTATTATGGTTTTAACCCAGACATCCTCCCCAGCTGGCTGCTAGCAGATGGAAAAAAAACAGAGCCCTTAAATGCCGCCCAAGTTTCTGATTGAGCCTGGACCACAACCACTATCTAAACTAGAAACTCAAGGACGGGAAGAGGTCGGAAAATAGCATCAGCAAAAGTTATTACTACGAGGATGAGAGTTCTCGCGTGCGGTGCTTCTCGAAGTTCTCTTTTACTGTAAACGTGATGAAAAGGCGTTGATTTCACAATCCAGATACCAACTCAAATGACAGCAAGTAGCTATTACTAGTTAGAATGTGTCATTACTGACATATCTTTTTGGTTAATCATCAAGATGTATTTTTCTCACCCGTAGAAAGAAAATCTCACATTGCATCTTGTTAACACGGGGGGAACAAGAAAAATCTAAATTCAATGAAAGTGCAAATCTGATGGCGTATGCTTATCTCATGGGAGAAATGAAGGCAAATGAAATTCCGCAGGATTCTTCAGCATTCTGGCAGGGCCGGGAAAACGATCTGCACACCCTATTTAAGGGTTCTTGTAACAGAAACCACCCCTGCCCTTACCTAAGGGAGACTATCTTAAGGAAAAAGTCTCTCCAGCTCAGTTCCAGATAAAGAACAAACCATTTTCATTGCTGAGTAATATTCCATTACATGGACGTACCACCGTTTACGTATCCATTCGCCTGCTGAAGGAAATCCTGGCTGCTTCCAATTGTTGGCATTTGTGAATAAAGCTCCTATAAACATCTGCGTGAAGGTTTTTATGCAGACATAAGTTTTCAGCTCATTTGAGTAAATACCAAGGAGCATGATCACTGAATCATATGGTATCTATATAAACAGTCTTTAATAACCATGAGTCAAATTTCTTAATTTTCATAATAGGCACCTTGCTCATATTTTGCTAACCTAATTCCTAGGTACCTCACAGTTTCATAGTGATTAATGTTTTATATTTTCATTGTAAATTCCTAGCATACAGAAAAGGAACTGACTCTTTGTACATGGATTATAATTCTAATTATCTTGCTTAGTTCATTTACTAACTCTAATGATTTGTCTCTAAATTATCATTGATTTTTGTTTTCAATGTAGACTTCCAAATTATTTTTAAATAAGCACAGTTTTGTTTCATCTTTTCCAAAACACCTCTATTTTTTCTCTCTGTACTGACCAAGGCCTCTAATTCAATATGTAACAGTATATTGGTAATATTATTTATCCCTTGTTTTCCTGACTAACTTTTCCTTTGTTGATTTTATTTATTGGTTTATCCGTTCTTATTTTTACTATTTCCTTCTTTCTACACCCTTGGAGTTCAATTGGCTATTCTTTTTTAAAACTCTTGACATGGAAAATCAGATACTGGTTTTCAGACTGTATTATTTTCTTATTTATGAATTTAATGCTATACATTTCCCTCTAAGTACTGAGCTCACTGCATCCTGCAACTTTTGATATGTCATATTTTCATTACCATTCAATTCAAAATGTTTCCTAACTTCCATTTTGAGACCTTCTGAAAACACCAGATTTTTTAGTAGTGCTCAATTTCTAAGACATATGGGATTTCCCAGTTATCTTTGTGTTTTGACTTCTAGCTTAATTCCTAAGGATTAAGTCAGGGGGGGAAAAAATCCCTATGTTTTCATTCCTCTGCAGTGGGAGGCCTTCTTCACGGCACAGCTCACGGTCAAGTCTGCAGCTGTTGGGTTCTCTGTATGTCAAGTAGTCGCAACTAAGTGACTCTATTGGTTCGATCTGTGTTCTTCAGGTTCTTTCTGGTTCTGTCAGTACAGAGAAGAGGAAAGGTGCTGAGAAACAGCAATGACGCTGCGTTGACAGAACTCAATAAAGAGAAAGAGAGAGAGGAAAATGCCACGACTGGAGAGCACTGGGGCCATTCGCTCAGGCAGGCGTCNGGAGAGGAAAATGCCACAACTGGAGAGCACTGGGGCCATTCGCAGGCAGGCGTCCAGGTTTTAAGGGGTGTTCTGAGCTCGGTGCTGGCTTCTTNAGAGAGGAAAATGCCACGACTGGAGAGCACTGGGGCCATTCGCTCAGGCAGGCGTCCAGGTTTTAAGGGGTGTTCTGAGCTCGGTGCTGGCTTCTTTGTGTTTGAGAAGCTCAAGAGGAGAGGCCGAGTTGGCAGCGGGGCACATGATAGTGGGGCTGAGAGAGGGGTCAGGTCTAGAGACAGACACTGCAGAGAGTGGCATTCAGATGATAATGGGAGGCAAGGAAATGCCAAGAATATAAAACTGAAAAGACAGGAATGAGCTCTAAGGAACTCCAGTCTGCTCGAGTAGGATAAACTTGCAAAAGATAAAAACAAGCAAAAAAACAAACAGAGAGGGGGGTGGGGGAAGTGTGGTGTCACCTTAAGACAAATAAAACTCAAGCCAGAGAAGACAAAGGAGGGGTATTTCGTGGAGGAAGTGGCCACGAGCACCGCAAGCTTTGCAGGTTAGCTGCCCCCCCACGAGGTGCCACAGAGCTTACTGGCGATCTTGGCATGATCTGCTCTGGTGGCATTTGGGGGCAGAAGACCCGACTGAAATAGGTTCCAAAGGGAGGTGGGAAGGAAGAAACGGAGGCAATAGATTGGGTGACTTTCAAACAATTGGGCTGGAGAAGAGGGACATGGGTGGGTCATGCTGATGCAATGTGATCATGGTTGCACACGCCTCTTGGCGACAGTGCTCAATCAATAATTACCTGATTAACCGCTACCCATCACTTGCCAACACACACACACAGATTTTCCTGATTCCTTTATCAGAATATTTATTACCTGCCCTGCAACTGCAGGCCCAGGTTCTGCAAACCAAGCCTGCGCAATCAGCAGTCCCACCGACGCACAGCAAGGGGGAGAGAAATTAATTCACTTCTGTGCATAATTGCGCTTAATGGCCCCACAGTCAGCCACACACGCAGAGCTCTGAGAAAGTTCCTACATCAGAAACCAACTGCCAAACCTCAGACATCCTGCCTGACACTATCAGCCCAGTCGCAGGTTTCCTTGGCCAGGAATTACCTGCAGAACCAGGACATCTGAAGTGCCTTTGGGACTTGGCGGGCAGGGGGACAGCACCAGGGGAAGATGTTAACTTCCAGTAAAATCTTACCCCACCTGGGTCAACTGCATATTGCAGAAGCTATTCTAGGTTATCAAACGCAGGGGACAAGTCAGATTAAAGACGCACGTTAATTTAGAACAAACAAAACCTTATACATATCTCCCTACACAATTTCTGTTGTGCACAACAGATGAATGAGTAAAACTCTTTAAATAGCCCACACCCTTGTTCCAAATTCCAAAACATCACTGTCAAATATCAGAGATGGAACACAATTGTCCAGGCCAGAGGATGACAATATTCACCGGGTAGGGTTGAGCCTTGAGAGGCCTTGGACTGATAAAACAATTGCCTGTGAACTTGGGAATATAATGGGCTCTGTGGAAAATACTCAGGTGAGATTTTGTTCAGCACTGGAGGAATATTAAAACTAACAAAAAATACTAGGAAATAGTCTACAGCAATGCATAGGATATGCATATAATTCAATCCTTATAAAAGCTGCTATGTCCACATGAGACACTGAAAATTCACAGTGAGACATCAGTTTTCAGTAAGTCTTCACAAGGCAGCCCTTGAAAAGATATGACTCAAGGCACTCAAAGCTGTAGGAATCCATCTATGTTATTATCGAAGGTATTAATTATGCTTACAATTGAATTTCACCAGAAGTTGAAAGTTAGCATAATTTCAAACCAAGCCCAAATCATTACAACGCAATCATTGGAAAGATATTGACTCGACAACCAATGCTGTCGGGATAAATCTGTATTATTATCTGCCTAAAACATTAATTATGCTTACACACTTGATTTTGAAGAGAGCTTGAAATCTGGCAGAATTTGAAACCAAGCCCCAGCAAGCCGAACTGCTTTTGTACTAACAGATTAAACAGTAAT